TTCAAATTCTCAGGGTGATCAACTAAATAGCAGCTGACAAGGGAAGTAAAATAAAAAAGTTAATATCTGTCTATCTATTTTGTTATTGTTAATTTGTTATGTTACTTTACATGTAATGTTTTTGATAAAAGATATGAAGACAACATGTAGTACTCAATACTCATCTTCATTTATTGAATCATTAATTGTTAGCAAAAATACTTTATTAGAAGTTCTGATTTTTTCTATACAAAATACGTATAATGTTTACTGAAAGCTTGCCAAATGTCGTGAAGATATATAAATCACATCATATCGGACAATGTATCGACACAATCGTATCATGGCTTCACGATACAATACGAGTATTGTATCGCTGTATCGTCACACCTTTACTTTTTACCATAAGACTGATGAGTACTAATATAGCTCGAAACTGCTATTATCAATGGGTTATGAATAAAGTTTCTGAAATAAACTTCAATAAACAAAAAATAACTTGTCTTTTTACACTGCACTTTAATTTCTACCGAGGGTAAGTTAGTACAAAATGAGTGAAACACTTTATTTAACATTACACTCCTGGAAGGAAATTACAAATATATAAATAAATAACCTACTTTATAATTAATCCCTGAACATAGGAAAGGTATCTGTAATAGTCTGTTCTCAAATGACTTTTAATAATTGCGGGCCTGAATATGGGTTTCGGGTGGCGGATGCGGCTCTGTGGCCACCTATTGGGACCAGGGCATTATGACCTTCATAACTATGTCTTCGATATTTTGATATATTTTACTTATCATGAATAGTCCTTTAATCTAATACGCTAACTGTCTTTACTGAACATTACTCCGTCAAAGTGTGGCTCGGCATGGCCGGGTGGTTAGGCCGCTCGACTCGCAATCTGTGGGTCGCGGGTTCAAATCCCCGTCACACCAAACATGCTCCACCTTTCAGCCGTTATAAAGTGACAATCAATCATATTATTTGTTGGTAAAAGAGTAACCCAAGAGTGGGTGGTGATGACTAACTGCTAAATTAGGGGCGAAATCCATAACAAACAAACTGTAACTCAACTGAATAGGTAGTTCTGTTAATCAATGATCACACACTTAAATTACATGACCCTTACAAGAACATTCACACTGAAAATTGTTGTTACAGAGGCTATAAATAATCTTGCTTGAACTTACACTACATGCACGGTGAAAGATTGAATTTATAAAGATAATTAATGATCCTATACTTGAACATACATGGCCCTATAGTACATACAAGGTTAAAGATTTGTTTTTATTGAGATAATTTATGATGACATATTTGAACTTAGATGACCTTGCAGTGCATGAACGGTGAAAGGTTGGTTTTTATAAAGATAACTAATGATCACATACTTGAACTTACATGGTCTTACAGTACATACACGGTGAAAGATGGGTTTTAGAGAAATAACCAATGATCACATACTTTAATTTTAAATGGACTTACGCTACATGACGATGAAAGATTGGTTTTTATTAAGATAATTAATTATCACAGAGTTGAAGTTATATGGCCTTACAGTACATACACGGTGAAAGATGGGTTTTAGAGAAATAACCAATGATCACATACTTTAATTTTAAATGGACATACGCTACATGATGATGAAAGATTGGTTTTTATTAAAATAATTAATTATCACAGAGTTGAAGTTATATGACCTTACACTACACGCACACAGTGAAAGATTAATTTTCATAGCGATAATTAATTATCACATACTTGAACTTACATGGTCTAACAGAACATGCACGTTTACTCTTCGGTCTCAAAGAGCGCTCACAGATTTTCTTAGAGATTCGTTTACCTTCTAAGTTATAGCAAAAAACTCGTCGTCTTTGTTTCCCCACACCACAAGAAACAGGACACTGGAAAATATCCAAAGTGGCGTGAGTCACTTGTAAAGTGCTCCAAACATATTTAATAACCTTTTGTGTATACACACATTCAACATGAAAATTCGTTGCTCTATGGACGTATTTAGTATTGATCTTATGAATAAACACGAGCTTATTATGAGTATCACACTATCCATCCTTTTTAATATCGCCGCCTCAGTTAACTAATTACTCAGCATTACAATATTAATTACTATAAAGTATGAATTCAAATAAAAATGCTTAAGTTCTTATTTTTCATTAGTTACAGAAAAAAGGCAATTATATTAAAATATTCCGGTAATACAGCTATTTACTTCATTGAAACTTGACTTTTAGAGTTTTTTCGTTATGTATTAGATTTTTAAAAAAGAAGTTATTTTTTTCAAATGCTTCCAACTGGCTGTAAAAAATGGATAATACTTATTTTTTATATTATCTATTTCTCCCTAAACAAAAGTCTCATGTATATAAACAATCGCTAAGTAAAAAAGTTGAGGCTTACCGGATTCCATGCCCATGGTTTCCACACTGCTCTGCTGTCACAGCTGCCTAAGTTACAAATCCTTAAAGTGTTAGGCTTCTTTACAAGATCACACCAAGGGCTGTTTTGATGAAGTAATTCATTTAAAGATTCTGGTTCAATCCATCCGTAAGCGTTCACTCGATGACAGTATACTTGTCGTGTCTGGATACCGGGCCCACAAGAAGTGGAACACTGACATTAGAAACAAAACATTCCATTTAGTTCTCACTGGAAACTGTTGAAGCATTTCCTACACATGTGGTGACTCTGACGTATATTACCATTTTAACGGAAATTAAGCAAGGAGTTATTGCACCTCTATATCAGCCTTTATTCGAAGGTGTGTGCCAAAATGCCGAAACAGTAGATCAAGGGATTGTATGGGAATGATATGGCGGACTACCAAAAAATTTCAAAATATAATTCAAGATACTACCCAACTTCTCTATGTGTCAAGAAGTTCCACAGCGTCTTTAATTATAAGGTAGAATTCCATAGCAATCAGGGGACTGTTCTGGTGATATATTATTTTCATTTTGTATAATTACGTACATTTTTAATACTCAATAATATCCAATTTTAATAATAATACCTAATTTTTAATAGCCAAAAAATTTCCGAGGAAAGTACTACGCTCTTTTAGTTTGTCTTATGTCTTGGGCCACAATAAAACTGCTGTTCATTTTTCTCTTTAACTGTTTAAATGAAACGTTTTAAAACTGTGATAATAATAACACTACAACTAAAACGAAAAAAACGATGTAGAAGGAACACTTTTAAGTTTGCGTCTAAATGTTATTGTCACACAAACCTTAATACATGTATTCTCAATGTCAATGTAAAATAAGAACTTGGTTATCTGAGTTTTTTTGGAAATTCCAAACGGTCTAAAAGTTTTATATGAGTGCGTATAAAACGATCTTCCATTCTTGTAGTTTGTTTGAGAGTTTGCAGGAATATAAGCGTGTACTAAAACAGATATTTAATATTTATACTGATAGCGTACAAAGACGCCAGCTTGCAATTCTTGTGGAGTTAGTGATGGGGCACTGACCTGCGTCCATTCATCAGGTATCCAGGAAAACGGGCATAGTGGAACCCTCTTACATCTTCGTACGGACTTAGGCTTCCGCTTGGATTCACATAGTGTATCCACCACAACGACACCTCTACTGTTCAAGCAGCTGACTTCTCGCTGTCTTTGCCCGCTGCCACATGTCACACTACACTGAAAGAATTAAATCATCGCCATTCTGAACACCATTTATTGTTGCACGCGTGTGCCGTTAACTACAGTTATAACTCTAAAATCAAAATGTTACCCCCCATTTCTTTGTGACTGTATTGGAGAAAACAAAATTATGGTATACTTGTGAATCGCAAATATTAAATACTATTCTACTAAACATTAATACTCACGACATTTTTTAGCATTTCTATTTATTTTGTTGCTGTGAGAAGAACACTGAAATATGTTTTCAAACCATCTAACGTTTAATAATTCTTATTGAGTACAGTTTTAAAACACTCTAATAAATTTATATACATTGCAAAATAATAAACACAACTGAAAACCTTTTACAGTTTTATCACCTCTCAATAAGTTATATGCAGAAAATTATTAGTGTGCAAAATATATTCAAATGTAACGTTTACACAGCAATTGCAAAAATGTCATATCTCTTAGAACAATGTTGTTTAGTGATCAGGGATAATTATAACTTTGGATGTTGTAACATAAAAGTGATACCAAATAAATCCACTTCGCAGTCTATTCATCACCAAAGTGATACCTTCAAGAAAATCAAGACGGACTTTAACAGGTAAGTTACGTTAACTGATCAAATTTTGTAAATGTAACAAACTGCAGTTGTTCAAATGTTTACAGATAACGACATCATTGTATGCGCGAAACAAATATTAAGGAAATATTACTCTGGTCTTTCGTAAAAGTATTTTGAAGTATAATATAGAACTAGAGTGAAAGGACGAAAGACAATTTACTAATAATGACGCCAGACAATATTGCAAATATTTTTTGGGAATCCAACTAAAATATGTATTGGCCAAAATGTAAAATAAGTACACGTCAAAAACCCAAATATACACACCCTATTGAGTTGATTACTGTAAAATACACCACACTCTTGTCTAATTCTGAAACAAACTGTAATACATATATTATTGAGTTATACTTGCAAAAATAATCAGTACATATTAGACCATAGTAATGACCACTGCCTCTGCAGAAAAAAGTCACTAGACTAGGCCACAGTACTTCCAAATATATCTGCTCAAAGAACTGCTATATAGCAGAAGCCATAAGAGCCCTAACTTACTTAAAAACAGAATATAATTATTGTATAGGACAAAACCATCGCAACTTTTATTCATTCACTCACCAGACAGCAGAACTAATATTTTTGTCAACATTTTACAGTTTCTAGAAATAGTTTAGACACAGCACACATAGCTACACTATGCGTTGCAACATTTAAATTTTTTTCTTTGCATGAATAATTATTAGAATATTTTTGTTTTTTTTTGGTTAAATATGCACCGATATAACAAAAGTAGAAAACATTAACATATCCACGTATTTCAATTTCTGCTTTCAAACGTTTGAATTTTTTCTTCAAGTAAACATGATATAAAAATTGTGTGCAATAGGTCAAAATAAGGTAATATTTCAACATTTATCATCTTACTTTATTCCATGGTCCTTTTTTCCATCTAAAAACGCATGGTTTGTTAAAGCAGGAACGGATTTCTGATTTAGGTGTGATCCTGTCACAAACAGTATTACTAACTGTTACGTTGTTCTGTAAGCATCGGACACGACGAATCTGTTTTCCTCGGCCACACGTTGCTGAGCACTGATATAAAATTACAAGCTTTCAAGTTTGAACTTCATCTTATTCTATCTATGAAATTTTTAAATCCCTTGAACTCACCGTTTATTACTCTAAAGTAACTTAAGTATATAAATAATGTTGTGGTATTGCGTTGAATTTATTAGTCGGTATCATACAATGAATCAACTCTTTCTCGATGATATCATTGAATTAATCTCTTTTAACGAAGTTAATATCGAAAATGTAATCTGTGATGTAAAGCCCAATGCATCCTTTAATTTGCTGCACCTTCCGATGTGGACTGCAGGTTCGCCTAATTAAGTCTCATCAGCACAGCTTGGAGCACACATTATATTTTCAATATTTATAAGTTGTTATACTGTATAATATACCGAAAAATATAATAGATGCAATGGCGTAATATTATTCCGATACATAAATCAGTTTACGTTACTAAATAGTTGGCTAAAAGGACTTAACAATTCCATAAATATTATATACAGACCAACTTATAAGAGACGTTACTGTATTTCTTTGGTTTGCTGACCCAAGCTGTGCGGATGAGCTTTGAATAAGCGAAACCGCAGTCCACACCAGAGGGTACGGAGAATCAAAGGATATATTAGGCCTCTACTATAGTATAATTTAGTTTGACTTTTGATTAAAAGAACAAATATGTAAAATCACCTTCATGTTATTCAGTAAATTATATTTTCTATCGTAACAAAACATAACAACGTCAACGTAAGCTAAAATCATCACAACATTTTATTTATCGATTGGATAGTAATATTTTTATTCTAAGACGTAATAAAAATAATTTTAAATTAAACTGAGCCAAAACATTTAGGAATTGTAACTTTTATATTCATTTGAATAGTTCATGCATAGTTGTGGGATGCCATTCTTTTAGGTTTACAGTAAAGTTTTATTTGGTGTGAAATGTCGAAACCAACAATGATTAGTCGTCTGTAAGAAATCTAATGTTTTGCAATATTAATTTACGTATTATCAGGTTTATCTGTAAGATGTTTTATGCACAACTTATGATTAATGACATCAATAGTATGCAAACATTTAAGCTGGTTAACCAATTTAAGGATACAGTAAGTAATAATTTCATTAAAGTGTATAAGAAGCTTTATTCCAAATCAAATCCTTTTTTTAGATTTATCTTTCCTATATGCTATATCTAAATTACGTATACCTCCTATAAAGGGTGATACAGTTGTGGGACGTTGTGGGCTAAAGCACATCTTGATCTCTTATCCTTTTTATTTTTTCTTATTTTATTTTCTTATTATTATTTCTTTACATGTGAGATTTTGCAAACGGAGGTTAAGACTGATAGATGGTGTATCCCCACCGCTATGTGGGTTCTACTTCCGCAGTCACCTCTAAATTTCATGTTATGCTTAAGTGTTTGTTTATTGTTAAAGACAGTAAGATAATATGATAAAGGTTTAACATATGTTATGTTTTATGTAGATATTACGAAATTATCTCTTTTTGTAGAAGAGTTTATGCACAATTATCTTCTATCAACCTTTACCGAATATACTTGACTTAACTGACTGACAAAATTATTCATTTCCTTTAAAAAGGATTTAAATACTGAGAAAACAAAATTTTGATATTGAGATACAACTACAATTACCACTTGATGTTAACTTTGACTTAGATATATGCACTTTAACATCAGTAAAAAAAATGCAAAAAGAAGCTTAGGATTCTTATCCACACTTCACTAAAGTTAGACTTATGAAAGGCTTGTATAAAAATTAGCGATATAGGTGTGGGAGATAACTTAGCAAATTGGATAGAAGAGTGAATGGATGAAAGAAAGCAGAGGGTTGTTACAAATGGAGTTCAGTTAAACTGTATTAATGTCACAAGTGGGGTACCTCAGGGCTGAGTCTTAGGACCTTTGCTCTTTTTGATTTACATCAATGATATAGATGAAGGGATAGTCAATAAATTATTTACATTTGTAGATGATATTAAGGTCTTGGGTGTTGCTAGCTGTGAAGAGGACGCTGCTGATTTACAAAAGGAGTTGGGCAAAATAAATGGCAGATGGGTTTTAATTATAATGAATGCCAGATAAAGCATGTGGATTATCGTAATTTGGTTGATAAGTATAATTTGGATGGAAATAACCTTAATAGTGTGATGAAGGAAAGGGATCTTGGTATGATAGTCGATCAGTCTCTAAAGCCATCCAAGCAATGTGCTGTTGCTCGTGGTAGGGCAAATAGGATTTTAGGTTGTATCTATAGAAATATTGAATAAAAATCTAAAGAGGTTATACTTTCATTGTACAGGTCACTGGTAAGGCCACATTTGGAATATTGTGTTCAGTCTTGGGCTCCTTATCTTAGGTAGGACATTGAATTGTTGGAAAGGGTTCAGAGAAGAGTTACTAGAATGGTGCCTGGGATGGAGGGGTTTTCATACGACGAGAAGCTGAAATCTCTCAAATTGTTTTTTCTTGGAAAAAAGAAGAGTTAGGGGGCTCTGATTGAGGTGTTTAAGATTGTAAAGGGAATTGATAGTGTTGATGTATCATCTTTTTTATATTTAACAATGAGAATAGTAGGACCAGGGGACACAAATATAAATTTTGGCAAGGTAGGAGTCATCTTCAGCAAAGACAGTTTTATTTTTCTATCAGGATGGTTGGCCTTTGGAATGGTAGTAAATTTGGCAGTAAATTTAAATGAGTTTAAGAAACAGTTTGATAAGTATATAAATGAAAGGGCCGAGTTAAAAAAAATATTTTATTTTTAAATTAATTTTAGTTTAGTTTTGAGGATGGAACAGCCGAGATGGACCAATAAGTCCCATGTTGTCCCAAAATATTATGTTATGTTATGTTAAAAATAATAAATATTTCTAACGTTTGTATTTTCTTTATATTCAATCCTTAATTTTGATGTCAAATATTTTAACAAATATTTTACCTCTGACCATTCGGAAAACTTCCATTCGGCACAGACAGACTGGAAACATTCTGTAATTCTTTCAGGACTTGGTCCGTGACAATTTTCTATTGATACTGACCGCTCCAATCCATCAAGGCATCGAATATCTCGTCTTCTGATACCTTGACCACAAGTTACGGAACACTGGTTACAAAAATGAAACCATTATTTCGAAGGAAAGTTTATATTCACGAGTAACTAAACAAATTTAACCGAAAATTAAATTTATAATCAAAGAGCAAGGTTTAAAGAACGGTATTAAATGTTACGTTTTCTTTTCCCACGTAAACACTAAACTGTTAGTTACTCAAATCACAACTGTATGGACTTTTTGTCCTTTTTTTAATAATGTAATATAACAATCAATTAAACAAATTAGTATTTTCACAAAATTAATCCAGTCACTCATAAAATATAAAATAATTATTGAATATACCTAAGTAAAAAAAAGGATAAACATATATATATATATATATAATCATGTATAATTGTTGTGACCAATTATACAACACTA